AATGATCAACTTAATCTTTTTTGTCTATTTGTGGATTGTGAGCCTATCGACTACCAAGAAGTAGCACAAAACAAGTTATGGAGAGACTACAAATGATGAAATCAAGGCAATCATAAAGAATGACATATGGGAGCTAACAATGATTCATAAAAGGCACAAGGGAATTGGTGTAAAATGGGTGTACAAAATAAAGAGAAATGCCAAAGCTAAAGTGGAGAGATACAAGACAAGATTAGTGGCAAAAGGATACAAGCAAAGAGCTAACATCGACTATGATGAAGTATTTGCTCCTGCGGCTCGCCTAAAACTATAAGTCTTATTATTTCTTTGGCAGGACAAAACAAATGGGGAATCTATTAAATGGACGTCAAGTCAGCATCCTTAAATGGCTATCTTGATGAAGAAGTCTACGTTGAGCAACCAATGGACTACGTCGAGAAAGAAAATGAACACAAGGTTTTGAGATTGAAGAAAGCTCTTAATGGTTTAAAACAAGCACCAAGAACCTGGTATAGCCACATAGATAAATATTTTCAAGAAAATAATTTTTTTAAGTGTTCTCACGAGTATGCCATCTACACCAAACATTTGAATGGAGACGTCTTGATCTTGTGCCTATATGTGGATAACTTGATCTTCATCGATAACAATCCAAGCTTGTTTGAAGACTTTAAGAAGGCCACGACAAGAGAGTTTGAAATGACTCGACATTGGCCTAATGTCTTACAATCTTGGGATTGAAGTAAAGTAAATTGAAGAAGGAATTTTTATCTCTTACTAAGGCTAAACAAAGGAGATCCTCAAGAAGTTTAAAATGGAGAATTGCAAACCTATAGAAACACCTATGGAGTGTGGAACAAAATTATCAAAACTCGATGAAGGAGAAAACGTAAATCCAACATTTTTTAAGAGTCTTGTTGGAAGTTTGAGATACTTGATATGTACGAGACTAAAAATATTTTTGGGTGTTGGACATATAAATCGTCTCATGGAAGCTCCCACCACAACTTACTTAAGGACTACCAAAAGTTCCTTCGATATATCAAAGGTATGTTGGATTATGGAATTTTCTACACTCATACAAACAACTTTTAAGCTTGTTGGCTACAGTGACAGTGAATAGGCTGTAAACTTGGATGATCGAAAAAGTACAAGTGGACTTTTGTTTTTTGTGGGAGATTCAACTTTCACTTAGAGTTCAAAAAAGCAACCAATTTTCACACCATCCACTTGTGAAGCAGAATATGTTGCTGCCACTTCATGTGTTTGTCATGCGTTATGACTAAGGAGTATGATGAATGAGCTAAATATGACATTGGAGAAGGCAACTAAGATCTATGTCGACAACAAGTCAGCACTTGTCTTGGCGAAAAACCGTCTTTCATGAGAAAAGCAAGCACATAAGTACTAGATATCATTCCATCAGAGAGTGTTGCAAGAAAGAAAGTCTAGTTGAAGTTCGTAAAATCTCAAGATCAAGTAGCTGATATTCTCACTAAACCACTAAAAAAGGATGTGTTTTATAAATTAAGGATTTTACTTGGAGTTGCTAAATCAAGTTTAAAAAGGGATGATGGAAAGTAAACTTCATTTGTATGATTAAAAATCAAAGAAGATTGCATGTATAGAATATACATGCATGCAACAACAAAGTCCAAAAGGCAACATGTTAGGTGCAGTAAAATTTAAAAGCAAGATGGTTGCATGGTTTTTTGTTGAAGAGAATTGAACAAGTGCATAGTTTCTTTGTTTCAAAGAATGCTATATATTAGGTGTAACAATTCTAGAATGTCATGTTGCATAAACAAATGAAAGAAACTACCGCAATTCTAAAACCTTTCAGCATAGCCATCTAATACCTATGAATAAGTTTAGTTCATTTTGTTTTGGTAGTAACAAAAAAATTGAGTGAATTGAGTGAAAAATAAAAGTAGAAAAAGCAAAAAAGCTAGAGAGTATTAAAGGCCTATTGCCCATAAATATGAGAGACTAAAATTTGAGTGAAATATATTTTGTGACAATGAGTAGTGTGAGGGTTTAAGTGTTTTGTGTCAAAATCAATGTATTACAACTTGAGAATCTCCAGTCATTCTTGATGGCTTGCCTCTTCCACGACCTCTTGTCGAATAAGAAGTTTGACTCATTTCTATTTGATTGAACTGATTGTGACCTCCTCTTGTATAACAATCACGTCCTCGACCACATATGCTCATCCTATGACTATTATTTGCTTTATTCTTTAAAGTGAGTTTAATTTGAAGAACTTGTTTCAAAGCTTATTGTTTTCTTCTATGCCTATCCCCATGGGCTTGTAGCGAGCCCATAAGTTCATCAATAGACATGGATTCCAAGTCCTTTGATTCTTCAATGGCCACCACGATGTGCTTGTATTTTGAAAGCAAGCAGCGAAGAATTTTCTCAATAATACGAGTATCATTTAAATCTTCTCCATACCTTTTTAATTGGTTGAAGATAGCCAAAACTCTAAAGGTATAATTCGAGATTGTTTTGAATTCATTTATTTGTAGAATTTCAAACTCACCTCTTAAAGATTAAAGTTGTACCTTCTTCGCCTTGTCGACTCCTTGTTGAGATTTTTAAAGAATCTCTCATGCTTGTTTAGCAATGGTTGAAGAAGAGACCTTATGATACATGCTCTTATCCAAACATAAGTGGATGATTGAGAGAGCTTTTTATCCTTCTTGTGAGCCTCATGTAAGACATCCTTTTGTGTCGCCGACAAGGTAGCCTCATCGGTAATCTCCTTATAATCTTTCTCTACAATCTCTCAAGCATCTTGTGAGCCTAAGAGAGCCTTTAATCGAAGAGACCAACTATCATAGTTGTCTTTCGTAAGGCGGAGAAATCGGAATGGAGGAATTCCATTTGCCAACATTCTTGGTTTCGATTACCCCGACTCTAATACCACTTTGTTAGAAGGAGAATTAAATAAGTAGATGGACGGTACGATAAAATAACAACTTTTGATAGAAAGGAAGCTCTAATACATTAATTTGACACAAAAACACTTAAACCCTCACACCACTCAATGTTACAAAACATATTTCACTCAAATTCTAATTTTTCACTTTTATGGACAATAAACCTCTAATACTCTCTAACTCTCTCGCTTTTTCTACCGCTATTTTCCACTCAACTCATTTTAATTTTTTTTTGTTGCTACAAAAAAAAAAAAAAAAAAAAAAAAAAAAAAAAACCTAAGCCTATTTATAAGTATTTGATGCCGATGCTAGAAGGCTTTAAAATTGTGGTTGCTTTTTTCATTTGTTCATGTAGCATGACATTCTATAATAGTTGCGCCTAATATGCAACATTCTTTAAAACAAAAAAAGTATTCACCATCCAATTCTCTTCAACAAAAAAACATGCAGTCATCCTTCTACTTTCAAATTTTACTGCATCTAACATATAGGCTTTTTGGACTTTATTGTTGCATGCATGTATATCCGATACATGCAGCCTTCTTTGACTTTTATTCATGCAAATCAAGTTTATTTTCCATTATCCCTTTACTAACTTAAGTATCAATTGAGTCCTTGTATCAAATTAGTTTCTTTAATGTGGGCCCTCCATTAGGGACATCACTGATGGCGTTAAGTAAATTGCATGACCAAACGATATGTATCCTTTGACCTAATTGACCTTGTGAGTTTTTTTTTGTTTCTATTTTTTGAAAAAAAATAATCTAATTTCAATAAATGTTTTCTGTAATAAAAAATGGTGATAAATCTTTATTTTTTTTGGATTTTTTTATAATTTCAATAAATTTTTTTGTAATAAAAAACAGAAAGAAAAAATAACTACACGGTCAATGCAGTCAAATAATACACATCGCATGATTATGAAATTTGCTTAACACCATCACTAACGGACGTCCTATATTAAGCAGATTGATTCAGTACAAAAATCCAGTTAACACTTAAGATCTGATTAATCAATTGCCTGTAAAACAGGTACCATACGAACTTGTTTTGTTATACTACATATCCTAGTCAAGCAACATTATCAATTCTGGAAGTTTTCAGGGGTAGACAAAAAGCATTAGCATAGTTTCACTTAATGCACGACTTTTCATTTGAGAAACAAACTATGTTTGGCAAAAATTGTGACCAGGCTACTTAATTCTGGAGTTCCTTTATTGCTGAAAGAGCAAAGTCCAGAAAATCTATCAAATAGATCTCAAACAGAAAAGTTGAATATCAGAAGGAAGAAATAAAAAAAAATGAGACAACAGCAAGCAATTAGATGTTTGATGTTGGAGAGTCACCTTTTGTAGCATTACCAATTGCTGGTTAATGCTAGCAGCATCCTCCACTTTCTGCTTAATCTGTGACACAAGAGACAAGAAAAACTTCAGTCAGATGCAACAGGCTGATATTTTAGCTCTTATATACTTTAAGAGAGAAATCGACAAAAGAAATCACGATCCTGTTTGACATATCACTTTCAGTTTGTCCTTCTACATTTTTAACTCCATTTTTTTTCCTTTCTAGTTTTCATTTCTCAAGAAATGGCAACATGTCAGATAACAATCATTTCTAAAAAAGCAATCAACAATACCAATAGCTATCACCGATTAGTGGTAGTCAATTGCAATCAATAGAGCTCATAGCCAGCTAAATGATGGTTGTTGACAGTGACTAATAATCACAAGTGACTGACAGTGGTCACGCAACCAACAGTTGTCAATTGGTGATTGCAGATCATCACTGATTGGCACTCAACATTGGTAATGGTAATCAAGACAACAGGGAAATAGATAATAAGCAAGGCCAATAATATGTGAAATTAGGGGGGAAAAGACTAGTGAAAATATTTGAAAACCACTACTGGTTTCCAAAATTCTGGTCACCGTTTACTGGTATTCATTTTTTAGTGGGACAATACACATAGATAGGTTTTCATAATTTGTGCACAAACATTTGGAAACAAAAACTGAAAACCAAAAGCAAACATGATATCAGACAAGAAAGGAGCTTCTATGCTCCCAACATGAATATCATTGCTCCAATCCCACCAGCAACATAAGGTATCATTGAAATCATATAACAGAAATGTGTAAGTTTTGACAATTCCATGAGCTGAAAATTGAGGTGCATATCCACATGATGGTTCAGAAGGACATTTACTCTTAGTGGAATGCACCCCACATACATAGAAATGTCAAAACTATCCATTTGCCAGCAGAAATATTGATAACATCCAAGGATAATGGAATTTTATTGGGAACATTTTCCCCAGAATTATTATTAAGATGCACTACAACATCTACAGAAAGCACAATCGTAATTCAATAATTGGTCTAGCTAAATCACCTTGTTAGAAAAATGGATTGTCTATATCGTGTGTACATATGTTCACCCAAATATAGTATTCAAAACCCAGATGTTGAGCTGTTATGCAAAAGCTCTTCAAAGAGTGGCAAAATTCATGCGCCAGAACAACCAATGTAACAACATTTCCACAGTAGTTTGACCACACGATTTCATTTTTATTATCTGATATTCATGTAGGGTCACTCTTTCAATCTCATGGAAGCTATACATATAAAAATTTTAAGTGCTGTGTGTTTATATTAGCACTGTCATACATCATACTTCCATTCAAATCACATCGCCTCCTCATTCTTCATATACAGTCTTATCAACTTTGATTTCCGCTTGAAAAACCATGGCATTGCAAAATTAGCAATTGAAAGACTTGTTCATGGAGTTCAACAACTCAAAACACAGACTTTTCGACATAAGAAAACCTAATGCAAGTTACAGTTCAAAACTCAAAAATTGACCAAATTCAATGTGAGAATGATGAAGATGGGTATGGCTAAAGTCGCTGAACCAAAGGGAGTCCAACTATCAAGCAGTAAGCAAATTCAACAGTCATAAAACATAATTAACTTTTTACTAGCTCCAAAATGCATTTACAAGATTCACTCTGTTTTTTTCTTTTTCTTTTTTCCTTCCCAAAGTCAAAGGCAGCAAGATGGGGGGTATCGGTACAAAAGGAATGATGGACTTAGATTATTTGAGTAGGATCAGAAAGATGAAAATACAGATCCCTTATAGCAGCAAAACTGACATTCCCAACAAAGCAAAGTCGAAGACTCGAAGTGTGCAACACCACCAAGAATAACAAACGCATTACGTGAAACGGAAGTATGCACACCTCTATAAGTTGCTTATCACACTTGGCAGCTCTCTCTACCTCCTCGTCATATTTTATTCTCCACTCGGCAGATTCATCCAATGCTTCCCTGTTGGCAAGATCAAACTGTCTTCTACAAAATTCCAATGCACAGAAACACCATGGGGTTAAAAAGTAGGATGGAGGTAACACAATCGCATTTTCACCTTAATCACTAAAATGGACCACACCAAGTATATGAATTACTCCAATTAACATTGTAAAACAAATGTAATATGGAAGGCATCTGATTGTTCTAGGGGAAAAAAATACGCAAAGTTACTCAACTTGCTTTCATAATCAACGACAGCTTTGATTTCAACAAAATGAGGTTTTGACAGCACATTTTTACTAGAAAAGAAGCATTGTAAATATAACAAAAAAGCTGGTGAACCAACAGCTTTTTCATTACAAAGGCAGAGTTCAGATCTAATCTCAATTGGGTCATTATTTAACTCCAATTGTACCCAATTAGGGTATGCCATGCAATGTGGACTAACAGAAGCATAATTAGTAACAGGATAGTGTACCTCTACATGCATAATCACACAATCAATCTACTTAACCGAATCTCTAATTCAAGCATAATCACGTTAATGGGAGTGAAATTTGTAAAGCCACCTGAAAGCTCTTTGCGAATCGAAAAAGATTTAAATTGAGGGTGTTTCCAATTCCAGGCTTGTTTTCTGTAACATCGTTGAATTCTCAAAAACATTGTACATTTTACGAAATGGAAGAGAACCCACTAATTTTCTTACCAAATTCATACCTACCAACAACAAAAGCATGCATTTTGATGATTAAAACAAAAGAATGAAAGAAACCTTATCAACTCAGTGTCATCAGAGGAGATAGCATAGTCGATTGTCCAAAGCCTGAAATAGACTGCAAATCCCAAAATCATTGCCACCATTAGACCCATCAATATCTTCTTCCTTTCACCTCCCATTCTCTGTCACTACTCAGTACAAAATTTACAAAAGGACGGGTTGTTTTCGCTTTTTTTGAGGTTGTCTTGTCTCAGTCTGTAAATTGCTTACCTTGCTCTCCCTGTTTCACCAACCGCAAACCAAAGAAAGGAAGAACAAAACAAACGTTGCCTTCTTCACTTGCCAGCGTGGCCTTAATTTACTTACGTCAGCTGGGTGGGTTAGGATTCCCTAACGTTGCGTCTGTTGCAGTCTTTGCATTTTCCAGTCGGGAGTTTTCTTCCTGTGCCCTTGAGTTTCAATGGATTTTACCCTTGCACAAACCTTTTTTACTATGTTACCCTTCTACGATATATTCTCTTGAGATTTTTGTCCTTAATATTAACTAAATTTTTTATTAAATTAAATTTATTTTGTAGAAATAATTTAATTTATTTAATTTTTATTTAATTTCTAATTTTAAGAAACCCACCCTTGTTTCCTATATTTTTAAATATTTTGTTTAATATTCAAATTTGGTTTGTTTTATTTTATGTTTTAATTTCAATATTTAATTTTTCTATACCTCTATGCATGAGTACTTAACAAATGAGAAGACGGAAAGAATAAAACCTCAACAAAGCTTACATAATAGAAGATTAGAATCCATAACAAAAAACTACTACTCTACGACCAAAACTCGCTTCAATAGCCACAATTGACTTGTAACCCACATTCAGATCAATCATTTTCAAAAAGTTTGAGAGAAAGAAGATGTTGGATATAGTCGAAAATTAAAAAAACAATGAAACCGGATCTAGATAACAACTCGATCGATTATTCATTTTCCGGCCAAATCGGCTTGCTCCCATCACCAAAGAAACACTCATAACCCTCCTAAAATTAGTTCCTCTCTAAACTCACTATTCAAAATCACAAAAAACTCGATCAAATCGAAGAAGAATCAAAATCTCGACATGTTTTATGACCTATCCATCGCATGACTTGTAACGTGTTTTTCTTCCCCATTTTTTGGCCAAGTTAGACCATCAAAAGGCCAAAACGAAGCTCTTATAAGTCCTACAGAGTTGTTTTGGTTTGATTTAGAACCTTGGAAGCCATTAAATCTGGTTAAAATTGACAGTGAAGAAGAAAGAGATCAACCGAAACATTTTGACTCGTTGATCTCTTCCCTCATACGACAGTGGCCATCACTCGTTAGAAACAATAGCTCCATCTAGATGTTTCCTACACGATTGAGTGGTTAACGGCCCAATTGGTGATCGAACGGTCGATAATGATCTTCGACAAGCATGCAAGGACAATTCTATCATTTTTTACACCAAGAGCAATTGTGTCAATTTTTTGAAAGCATGGGTATTTTCATCATTTTTTAGTAGCATCTAGAGGCATTTTGATCACTATTTAGTGGCCATTTGATTTATTTTTCTTACCTTTTTTATTATTTTATTATGTTATTTTGTGATAATTATGTTATATTTTGTTTAATATTTAAATTTGGTTTATTTTATGTTATGTTTTAATTTCAATATTTAATTTTTCTATACCTCAGTGAGAGAAAGAATAAAACCTCAACAAAACTTACATAATAGAAGATTAGAATTCATAACAAAACATTGTAGAGGAGCAATAGAAAATTAGTAGTACATGAACAAAACTTCCCATCATGCGTTTTCAAATCACATCACATGTGTGTTTTTAACTTTCTAACTAAAATTTAGTCTAGGATTGTCAATGAATCGAGCAGTTTTTTTTGTTTTTCTTTTTTGTCCACGGGATTTTTATTTTTAGTCGATATCAAACAATCCCTTAAAAAGAAAATGTAAAGTTTTGTCTTTTTTTTTCACCGGATTTAATTATTGGTCTCTCTATATATATGAGATTGATACTTTGATTAGGTTGTAAAATTGTTCTGTTGGGCCCTCTGACTTGTAATGAACATACATTTTATGAATTACTTACACAGAATGGATTGTTTTGAAAGAAAATCAAATTTCCACGATAGTTAACACGTAGGGATTTTAGTAGATATCATCATATCGAGGAATTGTTGAACATATAAAAATTGTAACCTCTCTTTTCATATAAAAATGAAACTCCATATTTTTGTAAAGACAAAAAAGTCCAATTTCATACGCACCTAATAATTTGTTCACTATGTCAATGTGTTTGTCGTGCAAAAATTGCAGTAGTGTCCTAAGAGCAATCTTCTCTCTCCATAATCGCATCTCCCCACGGGAATGACAAGTCAAAAATATGATTGTTGAACACTATTTTCCCATTATGTGCCCAAATTTCTGACATTTTTTTTATCATGTACAGCGCAACAAGTATATATTTTATTTTTTCAAATAGAACGCAAAATAAGTTTGCTGCCATTTTCATTCCGCCGGCATCAAGAACGCATAAGAAGCGAAAATAGGACATGTTGGGCCAGTTTGTAATGAGAAAGCCGAATAAATTAGGTGGTTGATGCTTATCCATTGGGCCAATTTTATTAAAGAGCAGATGCCTTCAGCTTTGGGAACATCTAGCCATCTAGACTTCGGCCTTTAATTGAAACTTAAATAAAAGGGACAGGTAGGGTTGGGTGAATGGCCATCCGGCTTATTTCAAGACTCGATCCTAAGAAAATTTATTCTTATTAATTAGTCAGAAAATACTGAAAACAAAATAGGGTTGCAGTCTGCACTGCAAATACAATTCAACTCGTAGTTAAAGTGAAGAGAAAACTCAAAACATCTTGTTGGGAGTTAAGAGTCCACATCTATGATGGAAGCATTAATTATAGGAAGAATGTTTTTGTATTTCCGTCTTTCAATTTTAGGTGACAGACCAAGACACCTCGTAAATATTTTGGTGTGACTTGTTAAGAAATGTTAACCATCCAACAGCACCAAAAATAATTTCTTTGAGAGCTTGGATAATAATTAGCACTCTGGATCGAAGTTTATTTTTATATACTTAAAAACGTGATGGGACTTTGTGCCGAAGATGAGAAGAAAGTTCCCATTTTATTTACTGTTGCACACCTGCGTCGAATCTTCTCTTTCGAGAGCTTGGATAATAATTATATTTACCGTTGCCCACTTGATCAAAGTTTATTTTTTATGTACTTAGAACGTGATGGGGCTTCGTGCAGAAGATGAGAAGAAAGTTGCCATTTAACTGCATCGGTTCAAGCTATCCAAATTCTATTGAAAACGAGGCCAACTAGCTCATTTTAATTTGAGTCACGTGATATGAGTTTGAACTTCTCGACAAGACTTGAGTACGAGCAATCATGCTGAAGTTTTCTTTCGAAATTTTCTGTTCTTCTTCCATCTGATGCACGTGTAGAAAAGTCGCAAATATTAAATTTACACTCCTCTCAAACATTAACTTTGAAAAAGAGAAGGAAAAAACATAATTTTATAATAAGCGCTGTCCGTTTGAAAAACATAACCAACCTTGATAAAAAGCATATAGTTCAATAATAATAATTTTTTTATAATAAAATATTATGAGTTTAAATCTTCAAAGATTAGTTTTGTTAAAAAATTTAGATGTTCGAGTTAAAAAAATAACAAATTTTGCTTTTTTCTGAAAAACAATTTATAGTTTTTTTATAATTTCAGCTTAGCAGTTAGCACCAACAATGAGGAAGAAAGTGAGCCATTGTGGTGGTCCAAGACCGAGTTTTAACAATGTCCATTTTAAAATAAATGTTAAAAAGAAATTAAAAAGAGAAGTTCAATAATTTTCCTTACTTAACCAAATTGCATAGTCTGATGCAAGAAACAAAAACAAACAGCAGGGCACAGAAACCAAGTAGCGCCGCTTGCGTGTTTTAATTTTGTATTTAAACATTGGAATATCGAATCATATTGTATTTAATATATATATACACACATTAAACAGTACTAGTATCGTTATATTATTGAATGATACTGGTTATTCTCCTGTTTTGTGCAATTCAATTATTTGGAATTGATCCAACCCCTACTTTGTCAAATTCAGAAGCCAGGTTCAGAGTTTGGTCCAACATATATTCCAAAATTTGAAGAGTTTATTGGTGAATTGAACGACTGAGCTTCGAGCATTTTTTTAGATATGATCAAAACGTGGTAATTTATGAAGTGAAAGCAAGAAGTAATTGGCAGCTGAAATTTATGTATTATATCGTAATGGTAAAATACTTTGTCCCTTTTACCGGTGATTAACCCACACATCAATTGTTGAAGCAACCAAACCGTCACGCAATCTCCTATTGTTACGTCCTTTATGATCGACAGAAGGTTCGGAATGTCCTCTAAGCCAAACAAGTCATAAGGGACCGAAAGATAAGAATACAAGGGTCACCTTTGCAATTCATGAGTACAAGTTTACACGAGGCCCTCGCAAATGACAAGGCAATCCAATCATCTTTTTACATTTTAGGAAATGGGAAACAAATTGTTTTTTTCCGCAAGCAAAGATAAGAACAAGATGGATAAGGTTTTATATAGAAAAAGAAGATTGAAAAGAAATAATTAAAATGTAAAAACGAAATTAATGCTGTATCTCTAATCAAAGTTGAACACAATGGATTTTTCTTCAAGAATTGTCTTAGCTAGTATGTAGCTTTCCTGCCAACCAAACCACCAAATGTGTCCATATCACCTGTACTTTTTCCATTGTCCATAACACCATTATTATCCGAAAACAAACAACAAAGGTAATTAGAAAGAGGGAATTATCCGAAAACAAAGAACAAAGGTAATTAAAAAGAGGGAAGAAAAAAGAGGACAGACGATGAGATGAGGATTTAGAACCAAAGCAATCAGTGAGCTTCTGATTTTCTTTCACAAGCTTAAATCTAAGAAATTACAAGCAAAAACGCATCCTCTCGGAATACATTCAAAACACTGATAACCAAAGGGCGAAAAAGAAAAAGAAAAAAAAAAAGGATACATAAATTAATTAGTCCATCAAAGAAAAAGCGTGATGAAAAATCAAAAAGTCATCACCTACTCCAAGTCGACATAGCTAATTAAATTTCCAGATAATCACTTCTAATTTTCTTACTAGATCGATCGTCTTGCAGTGAATTAATTTCCTCTTCTTAATTTGCTAATCTTCAAATCCAACTCTCTTCCAAATTGCATTTCTCACCTGGCGCAAGTCCCTCCCTTTCAAGGTCCTTCCTATCCCTTCATGAACGGAAAAAGAAGCCCCTCTCCTCCTAGCTAAATATTCATGCGGAGGCACTCTACCATCTTGATCATCATCATCATCATCACAGTCAGTATCATCATGATCAAGCTGATAAACACTACCAGCTTCAATATTCTCTTTCTTTTGATGATCGCTATAAATCTTGGACCAATCTGGTATGTTGACTGGCAATGATGCACATGTCACCGGGGTCCGTTCCTTGCCCATATGATCAATCTTCCTAGGAGCTTTCTTTGATGAACGTGAACTTGGTTTCGTTTTCTTGCTCTCCAACGATGAAACAACGTTACAATTCCAAACAGTAGCCTCATCGAACTCAAAAACGTCGTCATGACCAGTCATTGGATTATTAGCACTCCCTAGAGTAGGGTAGATGTAGTTAGCTCTTGCATTGAAAAAGTTCTTTGAAGCCATTGATGGAGTAAGAAAGACCAACAATAAAACAAAGGGGCTTGTAAATGAGGGGTTATTGAAGCTTTTGAAAAGGGGTTGTAATTGGTAATGATATAGCTTGGATGGGAGAAGAAGATGAGTTTTCTCTTTGTCCAAGCTGCCTTTGCCTTGCCTTGTCTTGCCTTTTGCCTTGCCTTGGCTTCCAATTGTTGAATTGTGCTGTATTTTTATAATGGTGTAATGGATAAGCTCCAATTATGTTTAATTTACCATACTAGCCATGTGAGCAACGCTAGAATAAGGGCATCCTCGCGTGCTTAGCATGGTCTGCTCGTTTTTTTGGTGCATAAAAAATGGCTACAATTTCACTAAAAACAGCAATGGCCCGGTGCGGGAAACGTGATTGGATGGCGTGCCCACAGATTTTGATTGCTCAAAAATTAAAAGATCTATTACTTACAGGAGAATGACACGTTGGATAGTTTCATTCCTCGAAAAATTATTAAATATGTCAAAATTTGTATTCCTTTATCTAATAAAAAAAAATTCATCAAAAAAAATATGAACTTTTATGTTTTATGTGTATACGTTAAATTTTTCTTCAAAAAAAATAATTAAATAACTTAACTAATTTGTTATTATATTTCAATCTATATTATCTCACTTAAATTTTTATTTTTTTGACATGAGTTATCTTTCTTTATTCTTTTTTTATATGAGCTCAAATTGCATCACACGTGAATCGGACTAAAAATAAGTCTCACTAATCAATATATCATGAGTTACAATGAATAGATGCGGATGTTCGGACATGATCGGCGTCCATGTTTGATTTTTTAAATGTATTAAAAAGATTATCTTAGTGAATTCGAGTGTAAAATCTATTAAAGAAAAGCCCAATAGCTACTTTCTTTAGCTTTACTAGTAAGTTTAAGCGAGTTTAGTCTAAAAAATCTAAATCTTTTAAGTCAAGTTTTACTCGTTCAAAATTAGATGATGTGGCATAATTCTATAGGTCAATAATCATTTTCTCTCACAATAAATACCAATCTCATATCATTACAAAGACATAAGGATTTTTTACTTTAGAATTTTTGATTTCTAATAAATAAATAAAAATTCGTTGAACTCTTCATTTCAAAACTCTCACTCATACATCGGATATCTTTTAAAGTTTTATTTGTTTGAATTTTGACTACTCGTTTATCGGTTATCTAACTTATATCTTACTAATATTATCTGTTTTTACTTTCACACTTGTCATTATTTATATTTTTTCTATTTGATTGATTGATTTTTGTTTTTAAAAATCATAGTACTAGTTCTTTGTATATTGATTTTAATAAGTTATAAGAATTCCTTATACATTATATATACTGAATAATTCCTTTAATGAATTAAATGTTATGTGCTATGCATAAAATGACATGTAAGACAATACATTATCAATTTAATTGCTAGAAAAGGTAGGGTAAGACCATGGGATTCAGAATAAAATTAATTTACTGTTTCATCGTTTCGTGAGAGAGTGAAATACAATACTGGATAATTCCTCCCTGTGCACAGCATTATTGCTGCGAGAATTTATCCATGGAGCAGGACACGTGTGCCAATGAGATCGCTCTGGTCTGTTGCTCTAAATTCATTGGTGGGTACGGACAGGCTTTGTGATGAAGTGCTAAGTCAAGTTGTGGGGTCTACTTCCACTCACAGCCTCAATAAAGATCTAAACGTCCGTATCTTGACACGTCATGTACGGTCTATTTTTCCTTGGTATTTTTTGGTTTTATCGTGAAGCGGAAATAGGCACGGCGTTGCAAGAACCTGACAAGTCAATGCCAAAAAAGGCCTTGTCAGTCCTAGTTTTAGTCCAATCCACGAAATTTTAATTTTCTTATCATCTGATTTAGGATGGAACCTCAATATTTAGAGTTTTAGACTCATGTTTCAGCTAGAGATGGTCATTCGGTTAAATAATTCAATTTTATATTATTCAGTTTGATTTTTGATTAATCAAATTGAAAAAAATAAAAATCGAAATCAAACCAAAATAAATTTAATATATTCGGTTTGAAACCGAAATATTTCGGTTCCGTTTCGAAAAAATTCGGTTTTAATCGAAATATTTTGCTGAAAAATAAAATTCATTCATCTACTAGATTCTACCTAGCACGAGATCTCAATATGAGAGAAAAAAATGTTTCCATTAAAGCCATTTTTTATCTTTTTAAAGAAAAATATCAAGAAAACAAAATAGAAAAATCTCAAGAAAATATGTATTACACCGATATGAACATTACCAAATTGTTTTAGCCAATAATTGAACTAATTTGAAATTTTCTCCATATCCCAGTATCTCACCCCAAAAAGATGAAGAACAAATACAACAACAATATAAAGCTAATTCTTCTCCATCCTTACACTCTTCTTTTGAATTCACTTAACATGATCACTCTCATAGCAATTGTAAGCATGGTCGCCTTGATCACTATCACGGTAGCTATAACCACAGCTGATTGTAGGACCACTTCTAAAATAGTATTTCACCTCTCGTTGCTCGTATGCTTGATGATCCTTTATGGCTTGAAATTCTACGGATTGAGCCCCTTGTAGAAGTCCGTGCTAAATCTACTCCAAATAAGCTTGCTGCGAAAACCTCGCTAAAAATTTCGGGGCAACATGGCCTATGGCAATGGGTGATACTTGACGAGGCGGTCAAAATTTCAAGTCCCTAATCCCGTAATATATTGTGCTTTCAATTAAATGGAAAATCACATCCAACATGAAAACTACCTCAATGTATTATTCTTTTATGCTTAGAATAAATCACACATGATTATTTTCATCCACACGAGGAATCTGGATAACACTATATAAAAGAAATGCATGAACGAGTGAAAAGCTCGATTGAACACGAATAGTATATTCATCCACGAGTCTCCAAGCATCAAACCCATCACTTCTATTAGTAACCCAACTCTTACTATCATCCACATCCACCAAAATCAAACATAAAAAAATCAAATTCTTAACAACTCCTCAAAATTCAATTTTAAAAAAAAAACGAGTAAATTAAGAAAACATATTCAAATCCAAAACCCTAGAATATGGGTTTAAATTCAAATTAACAAAGAACAAATAACAAATTCCTAAAAGCGAAATATGTCGTATCTATAGGTTTTGGATTTTGAAAAAAAATACCTTGTTTAAGCGTTCTAAGGAGGCCGAGAGAGGAGATGCGGATCTGCTAGAGGAATCGAGGGTGGGAGAATCCGGTTGTGGATGGCCCAACGCACCTCCCGCACCTACAAACATTCTTTGTAGTCTCTCCATGTTTGACATTTATTTTTTCACTTTCTTGATTTCTTTCTCGCTAGCCAAACATAAATTATTGAGAGGTTCTCTTTGTGAGCAAAGATAGACTCGCTATTAGGTCTTTTAGAGTTAGGGTCCTTAGGGATTTAGATTACTATTTAGGAAAAAAAATTACTATCAATTTTTTTGGTTTTCGATTGAAATCGAATTTTTTTTTCAAAAACCAAACCGAACTCGAAATAATTTTAGTTTTTCGATTCGATTTTAAATTTAGCAAATTTAAGTTTAGAAACAAACCAAAAGGCATAATTTGGTTTGATAAATTCAATTTTTTTATTAATCGAACCATTTGCACACCCATAGTTCCAGCATCCCCACTTAAATTTCATTGAAATAGTAATAGAAAATTTTACAAGGGGGATTAACTCGCACGACCATTCATTCCTCAAGAATAATATGTAAGCTAATCGTGCGTGAATCCTATTATTCATAAATAATATCACGTCCTACAATTTCTTTTTAATGGTTCTTAGTATTTTCACACAAACTTACATAGCAATTAATATTAAATCTTTTTATCTAATTATTTTAAAGAAACAATGTTTCTTACATTCACCTAGGAAATAAATTCTCTAAAATTCTCCAAGTACAATGTGAAAACATCTTTAAGAAATCAAGAAAATTTGTTATACACATTAAGCAACGTAATTAAACATCCTTGTATTAAAAAATTTATTGTTATAATTTATGTAGCAATTACCCTCTAAACTTAATAAATGTTGTGCTACTCAACATTTAGGGGATTTTCAAAAAAATTTAATTAAAAATTATTTTGCTTTGTTTATTTACTAGGAAAGTGAGTTAATTACGTTTTGAAATTGTCACTTAGTATTAAAAAAAATAGAAAATCTAAAATTGACATTGGTTTAGATATTTTAAGAAAAGAAGTTGGTTATGTTTTTGAAAAAATATCAATCACTCAAAAGCATCATTTCTTAAGAAATGTACCATATCTAGCTCAATTATAAAGTTTACATCCTAAAAATTTCTATTTTTATGAATTATTTCTCAAGTTAAAATTCTAAGCTTTATTTCCTAAGATAATTTATTTTTTTATTTTTATTTGTGGTATTATATTGAATTGATTGTCGGACCTTGACATTGAGAGTCTCGTCAATCCAACATCGAATTTAGTTTAAATTTTGACATCACCAATATGTCGAAGAACAATCTAATTTCTAAAGTTATTGATTTAAATTAATAACGACCATTCCTAATAGATAAAAGACTCATTAAGGTCGCTTAAATTTTTTTTTTTTTTTGTTATTTTCCTAAATTGAAATAAAGTTTTTTTTTTTTTTTTTTTTGCATTCATCCTAGCTAATCCTTTTTTTATTGTCGTTCGAGACCAACATCAATCCCTATTCAAATAGAAAACTTATTATGTCGACTTAAATTTTCCTAACTAATCTAATAAAAAAAGTGCTCCTATTATTTTTTTTCTTTTAGCAATTGGATAATATATATAAACCCTCGTTCATCCCTAATAGATAGAAGATTCGTTAGTTCGACATCACAAGTAAATGAAAATCCATATATTATTTTTTACAACCTAAATATTTTCACATTTTTAACCCACCTAAAATAAAATAATTATCACAAAATAACATAATAAAATAATAAAAAAAGGTAAGAAAAAAAAATCA